GCCCTCGCAGCCCTCAATTACCACAATGGCTGTAGAAGCGCTCTACATGTGTATATAACTTTCTCTCCCCCCAAGCAGCCACATGTTGACTCTCTTGATATCACTGACCTCAGCTACGACCTTAACGTCGACTCCAAGCCGCGTAACCGCATGCACCCCAAAGCCGACTTCCGATCTCCCACGAACCCCGAACCCCAAAGCCCTAAAACCTAAACCCTAAACCCCTAAGCCCTAAACCCTAAGCCCTAAACCCTAAGCCCTAAGCCCTAAGCCCTAAACCCTAAACCCTAAGCCCTAAGCCCTAAACCCTAAGCCCTAAACCCTAAACCCTAAGCCCTAAGCCCTAAACCCTAAGCCCTAAACCCTAAACCCTAAGCCCCAAAAACCCCCGGAAGGCCCGAAGCCACGACGCCTTCCCTCAACCCTCGACCCTAGACCCGAAAGCCCTGCACCTCGAAACTGTAAAAACCCCGAAACACCCTTGAGGCCCCAAGGACCCAGAAGCTATTGAAAAATCCTACAAAAACCTTGCATGAGCGCCGCCTTCGGGGCTGGTTTGAGTCTTTGAAGCATTCGAGATCTACGATGTTTACAGGTTTGGGTTTGGAATGAGCCTTGCCCCCGCTTGGTCGCAGGTATTTAGTCTCGAGCTGAGCATCTCATAGCCTCGAAAGCTCTTACCCTAAGGGTCCAAGTACCCATCATCATCTACTCTCCAACATAGTAACCTACACAACGACTATCCGAAACCCAAGCACCTACTTATGTGGGTCCTTTGGACCCTTAGGGTTAGATAGGGCTTAGGTCTTGGGGTAGTGTCTTGGGGTTTTAGGGATTCTCGAGCCTGACATCCGAAACCATCGAAAAGCGCTCGGGGTCTTTTTATTTGGGCGCTGCGAGGGACGGCTCGTACCCTGGGGTGACGAACCGCTTTCTTCTGTGCCCCTCGGCTCAGGCAACTGACGGGACCTAGCTGGCACCCAAACTCCAAACCTAGCCGTGTGAAGGGTCAACACAGTTGAAGGACTTTGAGCATAGACGATTTCGGATTTCGGTCTCAGTTTCGCTGTGTAGAAGCTCTGCGGACTTTCACATAACGCTCAGGACATAGCTTCACATCGACCCTAATGCAAGTCCTGAAAGTCGTGTCCTATGAGCCTTAACCCTAAACCCTAAGAGCCTACAGTTCTGAATCCAAAAAGTCGAGTGAATCGAGCCTAGGGTGCTTAATACTCCCATGCGCACAGGGCTCCAGCAACCGGAGAAAGCTCGCCTTTGTTGTGGTCTATAACTTAAGCTTTCAGGGTGTATCAGCTGGGGCGCAGATGTTTGAGCCTAAACCCTAAACCCTAAACGGTTCTCAGATTTGACTGACTTTGGGCTTTTCGGGTTGACTTTGGCCTTCGAACTCTTGGTTAGTCGAGCTCGACGACAGCACTTCTGCAGCGTGGCTCGTCCGGGCGTTTAGAATTTTGAGGGGCGGAACCACAACTCCGCAATCATAAACCCCAGACTAACATGTTCCTTCGTTGAAATGACAAAAGATCGCAATTCCAAAAATCTCTCCTTCTTCTTTGAAGGCACCCGGAAGCTTCGATCCTCGAAGCCTACACTGTTCCGCTACTGGGTGACCAGAAAGGCCCACGCAGAAGCGATCATGCATGCAGGGGAATCTTCGCAATTGCGTTGCCCTGCTACAAAATCTCAGCGATTCCTAGCTAATCTCTCTCTATCAGTCTGGATCCGTCAAGAAGCCGCGTGCCCAAGAGGACAGGAGGCCCATGGAAGCTACAAAATCTGCTGGAACTAACTCTTCGTGCAGAACCGTGCTGCCTTCCTGTATCCAGTGTCGCCGTCACCTTGCCATCACGTCAGCAACTGTCGTCGTCATGATCATCACCATGGTAGCAGCTCTACATCATAACCACAGTGATCAACAGTCACATTGCCGCATCCTCGCTACCGCGATCTTCATCATCACAGGGAGTATCGTTGACATCCTCATCGATATTCTCCGTGTTGTCATCATCAGCATCGTCGTCCATATCATCTCCCAGAAGTGTGAATGCACGCATACTGGCGAGGGTATCTGACTGCGTCCTAGTCGTCTGCGTCTTCTCATGATGGTCTTCTTCTCACTCAAGCCTTGCAGTGCAGCCTGACCGCGAGGGTATAGCATAGGTTGCACAATGTAACTGTTAATCCGTCCAGCTACTAACGCAAGCGCTGAACCCCTACCCCTTTCGCATCCTATAAACAATATAGCCTTCTTGTAGGACTAAAAAGTAACCCTCATATCCCCAAGACCCTAAACGACCAACCCCCGCCCCTTTCGCCTTCTATCTATATATATATATATATATATATATATATAGCCTTTTACTAAGACTACTAGTAAACCGTATATCCCCAAAGCTCTGACACGACCCAACCCCCACCCGTTTCGCCTCCCAGCCGCCAGGGCCCGGCCCCCTGAAAGCCTTAAAGCACTCAATCAGGTCACGGACCAGATCGCCACACATGGAGGGTTTTAGGGTTTGGGGCTTATGGCTTCAGGGCTCCTAGAATGGCTCCTATCTTACCTTTGGTTAGTAGGGAATGGAAGAATGGTAGTAATAGTAGTTATAACTGTACCCCATTCCTCCATTCCCTACTAACCAACGGTAAGCTATAGGGTTGAGGGCTTTGGGTTCACGGTGGAGGCCTTGAGGTTCACGGTTCAGGTTGGAGTGCGGTCAGGTTTAGGGCTTTGGTGGGAGGCTTCGGCTATGGGTCTTGAGTCTTACGGTCTGCGGGTTGATGCATGAGGGCCAAGTATTCAGTCAGGATTTGGGAGTTTCAGAAAATGGGGGACCCTAAGATAGTACCGTAAATAGTAGGATCCTTATTATGACAACCCCAAAATGAGGTACCCCCAGCCCCCAGTAATCGGAAACTCCCATTTGGAGGCGAAGGCATGAAGGGACGTATTTTTTCAGGGTGCTGTCAACCTTGGTCTTGGGGGCTTAGAGTAGTGGTCGGTTTGGGGTTTATAGGGTTTAGGTCTTAGGGGTTTATGTGGCTTAGGGCTTGGATAGGGGTCTATACTGTAGGGTTTACAGTAAACCCAAAAGTTGGAAGCCGGATAAAGGACAATTAGTGCTGGGATTCTCTTTACATGTCTCTTGAGCCTCAAGGGTTTCTAACTTTTTGGCTTCTACTGTAACCCTAAACCCTAAACCCGAGCCCTTGACTCCAAACCTGTAGTTCTTGGCTTCTGCAAAAAGGTGGTGGGGTTCGGATTGTAGGGTTCAGGGCAGGGCCCAGGGGAGTACTGATACGCGCTTTGCATGTAGGACCTGCCTTTCAGGGTTCTGCTAGCCTTCCCAGGAAGAAAGGGACTGGGAGTCGGGGATCTTCACGGGGTCTGCAGGAGGTGAGGGATCTGAAACCTTCATGCAAAGCTTGTCTTGCTGAAAGCTCCAAGCGCATGCAAGGATACCTTCGCCTGCCGCGGCCGGCTGGGTTAGGCTCTGGGAAGTACTTCTACCCTAAACCCTAAACCCTAGGCCCTAAGCCCCTAACTTAGGGCTTACAGAGCTTCCGGCGTTGAGGCTTAGGATACAGTTTAGGATCAGTCTCAAGGTTTCGAGCTTCTGGTAAGTTCAGAAATCACGGACTTAGGCTACGCCCAGAACAAGCCTCGAATTCTTGAGGCTCAAACCGCAAACCCCTCCTCCAGCTGCGCACCAAAGCCTAAAGCATGCTAAACTCTTGAACCCAAAACGGACCCCTGCAGCTACCTTCGGCCGATGACTCATCGAAGCCCACAATCCTCAAAAAGGCGTACGAAGCCCGTGCACGGAACCATAAAAAGGAAAGCTTGACTTGAAGGACGCCTAATAAAAGAATCCCAAGAGAATCCATTAAAGGAGCCCTGACAAGGAACCCTACAAAGCAACCAAAAAGGAAGCCTAAACGGAACCTAAAGCGCAACCCCAAATGGACCCTCAAAGGCCCCTCGAAGGAATCCGCAAGGAACCCTTAAATGAACTCAAAGCTCTTAAAAGAACCCCACAAGGAAGCTACAAAGACCCCCAAAGTAGGACTCAAGGGAACCCTAGCAGGAACCCTCGAAGGAAGCCTCAAGTCAATTCAAGCCTGAAAGGAACCCGGAAAGGAAGGATAAGAGGGGCCCCAAAAAGGACACCTACATGGAACGCATAAGGCAGAAGGGAATGATATAATGAGCCCAACATGGAGCATGAAGTGAGTGAGTGAGACCCGGTTTTCGGCTGCTTGACTCCGTTGGTCTGCTTGACCGGCGTCAGCTCATCCCCCGTTGCAACCTGCACCTCCCTGGCTTCCAGCAGCCCCAGCCAGGCCCTCGCTTCCCACGGCTGTCCACCCGCTGTGCCACCCCCACCTGGGCGGAGTCCTCCCACCTTGGCTGCCACCATGTCCCGCATGCTCTCTTGCCAGACGCTGTCGAAAGCCTTCTGCACATCGAGCTTGACGATCCACGTGGGTATCCCCCGGCGCGACTTACGGCTTTGCCGGCCGTCGGCGTTCGGTTTTGAACGGTTTAGGGTGTGGGGATCAGCCTAAACCCTAAACCCCAAACCCCCGAACCCAAAACCCCGAAAGCTACAGTTTAGGCTTTATTGCACGGCAGTTCTAGGGCCTAGGGCCCTTGGTGATTGGAACATGGTGCTTAGGGCTTTTATGTGGCGTTTTTCCAGTGTTGCATAGGAAGTGAACAACTAGATTCGGGTTTTGGACTATTTTCGAAGTCACATAGGAACTGTAAGAGGGTGCTATTCATGATCAATCAGAACCACAACTACCCAGAGGGTCCATACATACCACCATTATGGAAATAGGCCCCAGAAGACCATCCTCATAGTAGTTTTGATTTTTGGGGGCCTTATTCCATAATAGTAGTATAATATATGCACCCTCTTGGTTACGAAAAACCTGAACAAGATCAGATCCCCGAGTGGCAGCATGCCATTGGCGCCTCACGCGAGCAGCCTCAGTGATGGCGAGCTCTCGTGCTTTGGATGCTTCTTCGACCCTGAACCGTAGGCCCGAAACCATGTACACCAAACCCCAAACCCGAAACCCTAAGACCAAAAGCTTACACCCCTAAATCATAGACCTTAAAATTCTTACGCCCTGGAAGCCTCAAAGCCTAAACCCTAGAAACCTTAACGCCTAAAATCCTAAACCTTCGACCCTGGACCCTTCAAACCTTAGTGCCTTAAATCCTACTCTTAAAAAGCCTAACTCCTAAACCGTAAAACCTAAACTCCCTGGCAGTCGAGCCGTTGCAAGGGGGCTTAAAGCTAAGCACTGCCGAGTTGCGGGTTTAAGGTTTGCAGGCTTAGAGATATGGGTGGTTGTCAAAATTATGGTCCCTTTTTGGGGAACCTCAAATATTAGGTGCCGTACTATAATAAGGACCCAAAAAGGGACCCTAATATTGACAACCACCCATACGGATTCGGGCAGCAAGGACCTCTAAACCCTGAACCCTGAACCATCCGGCAAGGGCCCACATTCAGACCCAAATCTTCTTCCTCGCAGCTGGCACGGTGGTCGCAAGGGAATGCAGGTACGAGATGCCCGGTGGCATGCGGTCGTACTTGGTCTTCAACTTGCCATGGTACTTGCCCAGACAGTAGGAGCCGGGTTCCAGTCATGAAACTGCTGTCTTGAGGGACTGGGCGTTTTACACCTCCGCCTCGCAGAAGTTGTAACACCTGGTCATATACTAGATCTCGGTGCCGTCCTCCCTGTCTTCCTCCGGTAACACCCCCTCGGCACAATCCTGGAAGACTCTTCCAGAGAGCCCCCCAGCACATAATTCAGCAATAGTTTTTCTGAGAATCTCTGGGGCATGTAGGGCCTCTTCTTGTCGTGTGTAGGGGAATTATCTTCCTAGAAGATGTGGGGCTTTTTCGGGTTCACATTAGGGAAACAGTTCTTAAAGCTGTCAGTTTTCCCAGAGGACAAGTTAATACCCCAAATTCCTACCGCTTTCAGGACTGAAAGTATTTGTAATTTGGTTTCAATCGGCCCGAATTCTGCACGTGCAATCCTGAACTGCTGCCCAAGCCCGAGTTAAACTCTACCTACTTGTTGTGTAGGATCCCTGTAAATTCTGTGCTCGGGCTTATAACGAGCGCCTATGAAAACACAGGCAACGGTAGTTTAAGGTCCCCCAACATCCAAAACATCCAAAAGCCCCCGAGAACCAGAAACCGAGAAGCCCCCAACCCGCCAAAGCCTGCGAAGTTGTTGCCCCTCTATGGGTGGTTGTCAAAATGATGGTCCGTTTTTGGGTACCCGACATGTTAGGTGCCGTACTATATTAGGGGACCCAAAAAGGGACCATAATTTTGACAACTACCCCTATGACTATTCGATTCCATACCCCGATGCCCTATTGAAACCAATCGGGCTGCTATGTTAAGCCTCCGGACGGGTCTGCCAAAGTCTCGGCGCAGAAATGGAGGTCCAGGTCCTGGGGAGTTCAGTCTGCTTTAGGGTGTAGGACTATGAGTTGTTACTTTTTGCGATGTCCGGCTTGGAGCGCATGGCAGTTCTCTAAGTTCAGCCTTTCATCTAAGTTTAAGGTTCTCATTGAAAGGGATGTCTTCTTTTCGGACTCAGTCCTGTAAAGCTTTCCGGGAAACCCAATTGCACAAGCACCCTACAGTCGCAACACCCTTTTTGCCCTGAAGCCCTGAAACTCCAAACCCTCATAAAGCCCTTGTCTCTCTTTTTCAATAACCGTGCCAAACAAATTCTCTATCTATCTATTATACACCACGTATATATGGCCAAGAAGTTTTACGTTTTCCTCATTGCGAGCTAAGTTGCAAGCCCTCCGTCTGATAACAACTTATAAACCCAAAACCTGAGCGGGGCTTCACAAACGTTCATGCTTAATAACTAGAGTGGGTCATAATATTAGCATACGAATAATCAGGAAATGTACAGAACAATATCGGCAGTTGCTTAGGCTTCTGTATTCAGGCTACAAGGCGCAATTTTTCAGTGTCAGCATAGGCTTAGGGCTTTGGCTTTGGGGTTTGGATCTAGGGTTCGAGGGGTTGCTGTTGAGCTCCTTCCTACCTCTGCCCAGCTCTCACGGTTTCGGGTGTTTGACAAAGGGGATGTACATTTGGAGCCGGAGGGAACAGTGTTAGTAACTACCCAAGCCCCTCGATCAAGCTTGCGGAGCCAGACCTCGTTTGGCTAATAAATCTGACCCGACACGAACTTGTCTCATCGTAGATAGTGACGGACACGGAGGGACCGAAGGGGCCTCTCTCAGAGGGACGGTTTTGAACACCATGATCCTACAAGCTCCAGCAAGCGAGCCCAACTGGCACCCTTGTCAAGACTCTAGGAATGGCCGAAGAACAGGAAACCGCAAAATCCTAAACCCAAAACCCACACCCTCTGCCCTCTGTCTGAGGTAGTGGCATCGTCGTGCAGCACGATCTCCCTCAAGCTCTCGCGCAGCATCTGCATCTCCCTGCACCTGCTTAGGGTTTCCGATTGAAGGGATATTCCTTTGTCAAATCAGGCTGGGTTTTGGGGGGTATGATATGGCGGTTGAGGGTTAAGGGAGGGGTGGTAGGCGCTAGGGGGATTTAGGGTTTCGGGTATGCAGCGTTGGGTATGAGGCGCAAGGTCTGGATGTCAGGGCTATCATCCCGAAGCTAGAAGACTGAAACGGAAGCACGCAAATCGCAGCACCCTGCAACGTTGCCCCTACGCCAATTCACCGAATGGCAACACTCGCAATAAGCATCATCCAAACCTTAACAAAACTTTTTCATTGCCTCAAGAAAGGGATTGTGATTTTGAGAATAGGTTTTCGGGGCGTGCTCTGGCAAAGTTGTACTTGGAACTTCGAGGAAATGCCGTTGCCAATCATTCATGCACCTAGATAGGGAGGCGTTCCTTCTAGACAAGCGGCAACCTGCTGGTTTTAACTTGTATGCCGAAAACGAAGCCTAAAGTCAAAAAACCCGAAGCCTAATGTCAAGAACTCTAAACCGCAAACCCTAGCCCCTGAATTCAATAACCCGACCCTGAAACCTGATCCCCAACCCTGTTCGACCGAGCTCCCTGGCAGTTGCTCAATGGTGGGGCGGAGCACGAACTTGATACTCTTGGACCTGCAACAGCTCATGAACGGGATTTACGGGGTAAAGCTTCAAGCTTCAAGGTTTAAGGAATAGGGAGGTCCTTTCGAAGGGTGTTCGAAAGGGTTATAGGGTTGAATCAGGTTAGGGGGGGTCAGGGACTTAGGGCAGTTCTTAAAAGGATGCTGCAAGGGATTCTGCAAAGGTCGACGAGTCTCCGTCGTGGCTCCTTTCTTCGCTGATGGGTCTTTTTGCGTCAGCATTTCTGCAATAGCTAACAAAGATTAACAGCGGTTTTTATAAAAACCCATAGAGGGTTTCACTCTACACTCACACTGCACAGCTCTCGGCACGCGTGCAAACCCTTCTTTTGCGCGCAGTGCACTTGAAAGGTGCTTTGCCCCGAATTGGGGCTCAGGGGGATGGGTGGGCGGGCTACCTAAAAAACTAAGCTACCTTGAGCCTAAACGTGCGGTGAGACAGAGGTGAAACCCTACGCACACTACGCTGTACTAACCGAGTTTCACTCTACACTCACACTGCACAGCTCTCGGCACGCGTGCAAACCCTTCTTTTGCGCGCAGTGCACTTGAAAGGTGCTTTGCCCCGAATTGGGGCTCACCCCCCTCCATACCAACGGAGCCGGGACCGAAGCGGTCCTCGGCTCAAAGCCTCAGAAGGAGAGAGGGAAGCGTAGGTTTCCCTTTGCCCAAATATCAGAAAGGTCCTCGTTGAGATGCCCGGGACCGAAACGGTCCTCGGGTTCTCTTCAAGGGGGTATGAGGTCCACCTCGGCCATTGCCTTGGCTACCCCTTTGGACGACGCACGGGCATCCCAAATATAGCCGTGATACACGTCACTCGCCCACCGCCCAAAACGCTGCAACTGGGCCGAGTTTTGATAAGCCGCCCAGATGGCGGACGCGCCGCCAAATCTCAGGGAATGAGCTCCTGTCGCTCCCTGCATGCCTTGGTGTTCTGCTGCCTTAGCGATGAGCATCTGGAGGCATTCGCGGGTGACTCCTCTAAGGAGAGGCTCACCGGATTCTTCTCCATTGCCATGGCGTGCTGGGAAGGTCGAGAAGAAGCGGATCGCTGCATCCACGGGACACAGTGGTGGGACTCCTCGAAAATGATTTCGAGTAGTCCCACGATTGAACTTGTCCGTCTTACTCCCCCGAAGGGTGATCACGACCTCGTCCGCAGAGTGAAGATCCTTTAGATCGCACTCCTGTCCACCCTTCCTCAGTCTCAAATCTGTACCCTTAAGGTGTCTGGAGTCAGGAAGGTAAGGGACAGGGAGGAACTCGGAGGCCCTCAGGAGGAAGAAGTAACCCAGGCACAGCGCGAGCCAAAGACCGGGTGCTTCGTGCGGGGCATTTTCCCAAAGTTGGGTGAAGAGGTACGCAAGCATCGTAGGAGTCACCGGTAGCCTCCGAGTTGGCGTTGCATACCTCTTCTTGAACCCCGCGAGGACAAGAAGCAATCGCGGTTTCCCCTCCAGTGGGTCTTTAAGCCCGAGGGAGACGTGAGCCGATTTGATGGCCGCCAGCCTCATTTTAAGGGTTCCTGGTGCTCTCGCCCCGTTGATGGCCGTGTGGAGGAGGAAGTCCAGCAGGTGAGTCTCCTCCTCGCTGGGCTCGCTACCGCTGAGCAACCAGGGAATGCCTCTGCGGAGGCAAAAGAGGCGCCACCACTTTAACTGCCCTTGGTAGGCCTTCTGTGTGGTGGTGGTAAGGCGGTCCATGGCGACTCGGAGAGCTTCTGCCTCAAAGGCCTCACGCGTGGCCAAAGGTAGAGCCAGCTGGGGAGGCTTGGAGCCGTACAGCCTTCTCGCGGAAGAGGGCCCTCCGAGGAAAGGTGGTTCCTTCTTGTTCTTGACCGGACCGGCCAGTTCCTCGTAGGAGGGTTCTTCTTCCATCTTTTGGAAGGTGACCCTGCGCTGCGCCTTAGCCCCACATCGAGCCTCATCCTCACGCTCATTCTCGCACTGAGTAAGGAGAGGTCCGGGAATGAAACATTCCTCGGACCCTCCTTGCTCCGGTGCTTTATGAGTGACTCCCGGGAAGCCCGGCTGCCCCCAAAGGCAGCTTCCCAGGAGTCCCAGGAGGAAGAAGATCACGCCTATGAGCATGAGATGCGCATAGGCGTGATTGGTGTCTCGAGTGGCATTATCGTGGTTGCGAGGCCCGAGGTCGGCCAGGTACCCCCAGCGCGCCTCGGGTCCACAATCGCGACATGGTTGCGCCGCTTTGTGAAGCGGTCGAACCAAGTTGCAGCTTGGAGCGTGAAACACTGCTTCATCGCGAAGGAACTTCACTTCCACCTTGCCCCCATATGGTTTCCTCCTATCCCGGGCTTCCGGGACGGGGATGAACGTCGTAGGGGCACACGCCGGACAGGGGTGGAGAACATAGGTCTCATGCCCGGAAACGTGTGGGCAAGAGGGCCTATGGTACGAGGTTCCGCGCGGTGTGCAGCAGATCGTCGTGTTTCCGATCCTCCTCCTGGCCAGCTGCCCCATAGCTCCCGCCTGTGGTGGTGGGGGCGGGGTTCTACCGGCTCCACCTTGGGGCAGTGGTGGAGGCATGGGAGGTGCCTTTGCGGTGCCGCTCGCTTGGCTAGACGAGGCGGCTTGGTCTGCTACCATCCTGAGGGGAGGTGGCGGAGCCTTAGGAGAGAAGGCTGCCTCTTGCCTTGGTGTGCGCGGAGCATTGTTACTGTTGTCCATACGCTCGCGCCTCCGACAGCAACCTCTGGCGCGACGCCAGCAGAACTGGGCCCAAAGGCAGGCCACGACACCCAGAAGGAAGCCCTCAAAGAGGCCCGTCTCCCAGAGGTAGGCCTCGGCTCTTCCGCTTTCTCCTAGCCCCGCCACGCCTAGCGCGCTTCCCCCGGTAAAAGGAGTAAGAGCTCCCCCCTCCGAGCGTCCGGGGCCGAAACGGCCCTCGGACCTCGGGGGTGTCTGCTCTGAGTTCCTCGTCCGGTCCCGGGCATGCGCGATTGCGTGGTTGGTGTCTCGATCCGCATCATCGTTGCGGGCCTTCTCGCGGAGCCTCTCCTTTCGTTGCTTCTTTTTGAGCTTTCGCCGGCGAGTGGAGTCCGGGGGACGCTTCGCCTGGCGCGTGCCTTCCTGCGCAAGAAGGGCACGAAACTCCCGCAACTCAAGGCGAGCTGCCTCCTTCATCCTCTCATCCAGCGCTTCGCCTGTCGGCGTGGGTTCTGCCCCTGGCGGGCGCTCCGCCCTCTCCCTGGCCGCCTCCGCCTCGATGCGGGCCCTGTGTTCTTGAGCGCGGATTCTCCCCTTTTCCTGCTTTCGCGCGACCCAGATGGGAGTGCCGGCCTTGATAGCTGCCGTGAGGCGATCGGAGCTGAGAGGTTTTGAGGCGAGAGAAGGTCTGACAGGGTTCTGTCTTTCCAATTCTCGCATCGCCTCGCCCTGACTGTCGAGCTCCTTGAGGTATGCGGCATCCGACGTCTCCAAAGCTTTAAGGTTACGCACCTTTTCTTCCAAGAGTCCTTTGACTTCTCGAGAGGCGTCCCCACGCTGGGTCGCTAAGCGTTCCAGGTCAAGGAGAAGCTGCGCCTTGGTGCCTCCCTCTCCAGCTGCCTCCTTGAGGGCCGCAGACAACGACTTCCAGTTCCGTGTGTCCGCGTCTGAGATCGCCCGGAGCAGGCCGACCTTGGGAGCAGTAAGTCGGATGCCCGTCCGTGGCACAAGGGGCCGACTCGCAGACGAGCTCTCTGAAGGGAGGCCACCTCCTGCTTCGAGCAGGAGGATCCTTTCCTCCTCGTCGAGCGCTGCCATTTGTTCCTCGAAAGACGGTGCCCGCTCGCTGGGCGCACCCGAGCTATCCGGAGGGACGGCTTCGGGGGCACCGGGACCGAACCGGTCCTCGGTGCCCCTTTCGGCTTCTCCTTGACGCTCCTGGTTGCCCGTCGCTGACGGTGCCCGCTCGCTGAGCGCACCCGAGCCATCCGGAGGGACGGCTTCGGGGGCACCGGGACCGAAACGGTCCTCGGTGCCCCTTTCGGCTTCTCCTTGACGCTCCTGGTTGCCCGTCGCTCCTCGGGTTCCGGCTCTGGAGGAACCTGAGTGGGATGGACCCCTGGAGGAGGGGCCTTGACCCTTAGAGGGCTCCGGGGGTTCACTCCTTGGAGCGTCAGGAGGACCAAAAGCTGGGGGGGCTTTGGACCTCGCTGGAGGAAGGGAGTGAGGGATCCCGTGGGACGCTCCCTTCCCTACGGCAGCTCCTTCGGTGCGTGCTTCTGCGGCCGAGGCGGGGCGCTCTGCTGCCGCTGCTTCTTCGCTGGAGTTTCCAGCGTGAGGTCCTTGAGCTGTGTCGACAGCGCCACAGCGTTCTGCCGCGCTCGCTCTTTCAGGTGCCATCGCATGCGCCGGTTGTGGATAGGGGTCATGAGGTGACCCCCGTCTATCCAGGCGTTGCACAACAGGCACTTGAGGCCGTCCGGCGTCGACCATTCGCCGCTGTAGGTGTGCGCCACCTCAGCGGCCTCGTCTGCAGGCTCTAGGGCCACATTGGCGGTGGCCTCCTCTGAGCCCGACTCGGAGGTCGACCGCCCGAAGTCTACGTCTGCTTCGAACTCGGGGGCCTCCGGCACTGCTACCTGCCACGTGTCAGCATCGACGATAACCTCTTGCCCGTCCTCGAGAGTCGCGCCCAAGGCGACCGCGGCTGCTGCCGGCTCCTTAGGGGAGGGTCTCCCTCCTTGGTAGGCCTTAAGGTCCAGGCGGGGGCCTTGCGTCGCCTCCCCTTTGGTGTCCCGAGAAGGGTCGTCTTCTCTGCTTTCCTTTCCCGGGGGCTGACCCTCTTGACTGCCCGAAGACCCCTTGGGAGTTCCCTCGGGTTGGCCGGGGGCGAAACGCCCCTCGGCCTCCCCTTGGGTCTCCTCCCGAAGTCTCTGCTCGGACCCTTGCCAGAGCCCCTTAGAGTGGGCTTCAACCTTCGCGGTCCACGGCGCGTAAGAAAGGATAGCGCTTGTCGGAATTGGTTGGCTGGTCAACCAGATTCCGTTGCCCGTGAGCCTGAAGACACAGCCCGCCTGGGCAGCCTTAACGGCGTCCACTGTCACTGCGACTTCGAGGTCGGACCGCCACCTGCCAGACTTGCAGGACGGATCTTGCAGGTGCAAAGCCCTGCGTAGCGGGAGCAGCCCGTTCAGTTGAATCGGGGGTACCTTGGACCGGTATGTGCCGTGGAGAAGGATTGGAGGCGGGGTGGCGATGGCACCGGGGCCGACC